ATCCATCCATCTGTCATTTTATCATTCTGTCTGTCCAACCATCCATTCATGCATCCATCCATCCATCCTTCCATCTATCATTCTGTCTGTCTGTCAATCCATATATCTAAGACCATCACATCCCAAATTTAATTTCGCAGTGTCTGATTGATATGAGCAGCGTTCTGACTGTCTGAGACCAAGAAATCATGACTGCAGTATTACATAACTCCAGCTCTTGTTAGAACACTGCTGTGTATGTTTGATACTAACAAGGGAGCTATCAACACTGTGATGAGCTGACAGCTAAATGAGCTCACCCACATGGACAGCAGCATAAAAAGCTCATCTTTTTTTTTTTTTTTTAAAGCATACTGTTAGATTTTGTATAAAAGCGTGTATTTACTTACATGGTCAGGAAAGAGACCATGAAAACATTATATATTTGATAAATTAAAACATTTAATTGATACTGAAGTAAAACGCATACATTTTACTTTAAAGCCATGTTTTTTTATGTCTGCTTTCACTTACTACCATAATGTCTTTGAATTATCTTTCTCAATTCAAATCTGTTCTTTTAATCTATTATGGGACTTTTTCTCTGCAAATACTGGCATCGGCATATCATGTAATATATATAATTAAAATGTATAATCAATTGACAACCCTGTTATTTTATCACCAGTCCTCAGTAAAAAGCAAAGAAATCTGATAAGATGCTCATTCTCTCGATCATCGCTCTCTACTCTTTCTCTCATTTACTTTTCCGAGTGAATGTAAGAGCCAGAGGGCAAAGAAAGGAGAGGGAAAATGAAGAAAACGACCAGACAGAAAATGAGAGTTGATGTGCAATTTTAGCATCCAATCCGCAGCCACCCTCCTCAGCTGCTTCCCTCTCTCTCTGTTGAAGTATTATGTAACCGGGCCCTAGGCATGGTAATTAGGAAGCTTTAGTATTAGCTAAGACCAAAGACAAGAGCAAAGGAACAGTAAGAGACTCGGAGTGTGTGTGGGCATCCTTAACCACTTTCATAAGGTTGAGCCATTAGCAACCTTTTTTTTTTTTTTTTGATGTATCTTAGATTTTCTTTAAGACAGCACTGAACTTCAATACTCCTCACCTGTGAGTGTGGGTATGCAAATTACAGGTAACACTAATAGTGTGTGTCTGATACATTAAATTTGGCACACAATATTTACAAATCTATTCTTTTCATCAGGGAAAAGCAAATATTTCTGTACCCACCAAAAGTGCAACAGGTGCAGTTTGAAAAACGGCAGTGGAAGAGCCAATACAAGTCAAGTCAAGTCAAGTCACCTTTATTTATATAGCGCTTTTAACAATACAGATTGTGACAAAGCAACTGAACAGCATTAATTAGGAAAATAGTGTCAATAATGCAAAATGACAATAGTAAACACTCATTTTTCAGTTAAAGACAGTTCATCATTGAATTCAGTGATGTCAACATCCAGCTCAGTTTAAATAATATCTTTGCAATTATGTCAACGATATCGCCGGAAATGAAGTGTCCCCAACTAAGCAAGCCAGAGGCGACAATACAGAAATCAATCAATAAAATGTAGTGTTGATAATTATCAAATTATTGTTTGAATTAAATACTAATGTAAAAATGGCAAACACAAATTATAATTTTATTATTAATGTTGTCAAAGCTTCAATATTTTAAGTAGGTAAATTTAGGAAAATACAAGACTAGATTCCAGTAACTAGACAACTTTATACACTCCTTTAATTAACACAAACACAAAACCATATAACAAACTCTTGTGTACTATAGCGGCTTTTGCTAAAAAGCCTGGAAGTACTGGATGGTTGGTAAAATTGCAAAATATTATGGTGTGGGTTAGTCTGTAGAAAATACAATTAACCTTATAAAAAGAAATGTCTATGATAAATCCTCATTCAGACAGCTAGGTAAACGTGTGAGAAGGACAGACTGAAGACTTGTTTGTACTCTGTAGGGTCAGCAGAGTGAATCCACACAATATCAGACATAGCTCTCACTTCTTCACCACAGACAAGTGTGACACTCACTGAAGCAATCTGTGTGTGTGTGTGTGTGTGTGTGTGTTTGAGGAGGGAGCTCTGTGTGTGCAGACACCGTTTCTATGGAAACGGATGTGGGTGATTCATGGAGCGTGTCAGGCTGAAAAATAAATCTCACACCTTACATGAGTGTGTGTGTGTGATAGAGAGACAGAGTGGGCATGGTGATGGTTTAATGTTTTTGAGTGTTTAAGAGTGTTTTAATATGCCAGAGTGTTATGAATGTGAGTGTTTGTATGTCATGAGGGGAGTATTGACATAGTACCAAATATTCATTAAATGCTCTTCAAATATATCAACTTCAAATTTTTATTGTATATATATATATACACACACATATTGATTGGATTCAATATGGATTGAATTGCTTTACACACTGAAGAAGGCTTTGAGCCGAAACGTTTGTGTCTTTTCCCATCAGTAATGAATGTAAAAGAAAAGAAAAAAGAAGATTGTTCTCGTGAGTGCGGATCATAATTTCCTATACTAACTCAACAGATTGACGCACCAAAATAAAAAGATCAAGTAACGCAAGGGCGCAGTGCAAACGACGTTGTTAAAATATATACACGCATAACCACAAATTACTATTGTATATATGTATACTGCCGCAACATTGCAGCATTGCATTGTGCACTATTGTGTATATACTGTATATATAATATATATATATATATATATATATATATATATATATTATTTATATCTAGTTTTCATTCCCATTGACAGATATTATATACTTTTTGTTTTAAGCATAAACTCACAGAATTTTGTTCAGTTTTTCAAGACTTAATCTTACATTTGAATCTGAAGTATTGGGAAATTTGAATTGGAAAACAAAAATACTGAGGTAGATTTTTTTTTTATTGCAATGCATGCAACATATAATTCCATGAATTTATGAATTTAAGACTTTCTGCCCAAATTTAAGATCTTTTTAAGTCTTTAAATTGTGAAAGTGCAAATTAAGACTTTTTAAGGCCTGCAGAAACTCTTGATACATATAAAATCCATTTAATATTTGCCCTAAACCTAAAGAATATAAAATGTAAAAATATATATGAAAAAGCAAAACACATATGAAAACAAACAAAAACTGAATATCATGTTCTACTCACTATCATGTGTCAAGACTCACAGTCTCACAGGAATAACCAAAGGTTCGTGCTCAAGGACACATGCTGATGGAAGACCTCCAGTTCACAGATCTACCTGCTGCAAGACTCAATTTACGATTACATTCTCATGCCATGTAGTTTTGGATTTTGTTTTCCCTTAATAATAAAAACCTTCATTTAAAAACTGCATGTTGTGTTCACTTGTTATCTTTTACTAATATTTAAATTAGTTTGATGATTTGAAACATTAAAGTGTGACAAACATGCAAAAATATAAGAAAATCAGGAAGGGGGCCAACACTTTTTCACACCACTGTGTATATATATATATATATATACACACACATATATACACATTATTCCAAAACTGTAAGAGTTTCCTTCTTCTGTGGAACACAAAAGAAGATATTTTGAAGATTGTTGGTAGTCAAACAGTTGACGGTAGTCATTGACATCCATAGTATGGAAAAAAATACAATGGAAGTCAATGGCAACCATTAACAATTTAGGTTCAAAACATTCTTCAAAATATCATCTTTTGTGTCTTTTTTGAGTAAATTATGACAATTTTCATACTTGGGTGAATTATCCCATTAATAATGACACCGTTATGGATAAAGTGTGTATTTTTTTTTTACTTTCTCCTTTCCCAGCTTAATGTGCAGAGGCATTAAAACACACATCAGTGTTTGGAGAGTGAAAACAGATTAACAAGATATTTGACAGAATCTGTAACTTATTTACCTTATTTACCCTAACATCTGGACTCCTCTATCCTCTCAGCACTGAGTTAATACCTAAAGCTGCCAATTACACTAGAACAGAGGCAGAGATGACCTTGTTTCTCCATAACCGAAAGCATAAAACAACTTAACAGGCTTTGTTAAGGAGAAAACTGTGCTCAGTATGATTGTTTTCTCTAGCTCATAACCTCCCTCTTTCCTTCTTGAGGCTAGATAGGTGTAAAAACAACACAAGATGAATGTATTTTTGGATGTATATTTTGAAATGTCATCATGCGATCATCATGTAAATCAAGCCTCTGGAATGTGAATGACATTAATGCGATCCTGAAAATGTCGAGAACACACACTGCAGACCTAATCTGTGCTGCTCTGACATACTGATGAATAAACTATGAAGGGAGGAAACTGAACTGACTGTTACACTATTAACATGAGAGAAAGAGATTAAATATAAATGGCTCTGTGATTTCTGCTGTGATGAAAGGTTAGATTGTACGGAAATATTTCCTAGGAGTTTTAAGAGTCAAAACATCTATTAGCAGGCCTTTAACATGCAAAAAAAATCACACGGTTGTTTCTTTGCTGTGTGGCCCTCGCTGTGACATCTGATGAATAATTCTTGCAGTAGTGCATTTTGGGATTGAGTGAAAGCAACTCAGCCTCTATGAGTTTAAAAACACAAGGTTCAAATTGCTCATTTAAGGATAAAAGGGAAAAACACTTTACATCTGTGGCCCCTTATGTGACTAAACATGAGTCAGATGCTCTTAGCACGTCGTCTGTACTGTGATTTTCTTCCAATCTTCATTTAGGGATGTGACAGATGTGGAAGTTCTTCAAATTTAGAATTAATCTCCACCCAAGAGGTAAAGATTGACTCATACGGCATACATGAAAAACTTCTCCTGACGAGCTGCCAAACATCTACTGCTAAGAATCATAAAATTTCCATCTTGTTAATATTCCTGGGTGGTTATTTGCAAGTACAGCTCTACTTAAATACAGATCTGCTAAAAATACAGAAATTTTTTTAGGCAGCTAAAAGTCGACCCTTAAAGTCAAAATATTCGTGTCGTTCCTCACCTCCAAGAGGACCTGGTGCAGCAGTCTGGCAGCATTCTCAGAGACCTTCCACGGGTCGCTCTCCTCCACCAGCATGGCATCCAGAGTTCCCTTCTCCAAAACCACATCAAACACACCGTCAGGGAAGGCCAGTCGCCGGGCGTCCATGCACAGCCAGCTGAGCTGAGTGCAGTCCTTGTGTCTCTCCGCCATACTCTCCACACAAACGCTGGAGTAATCCACATTAGTGATGGAGGTGTAGCCAGCCTGGTACATATCATAGCTCAGAGCACTATTACCGCAACCTGAGAAAGAAACGGAGAGTCTGGAGAGTGAAAAACAGTTTGAGAGTTCTATTACTGATAATTTAAGTCGCTCTCGCAAATAAATGTGGTTGTCACCCTCAACTCTCTACGGCATTCAAAAACTGTAAGACCTAGCACAACAGAATAGAACAGAAAGACATGCTTGAAAGAGAGACTTTGAAAAACAGCAAAAGATATCTGTCTGACACATAGAAAGCGCATAGAAAAACAACAGGAAAAAAAAAAACCGGTAAGGACTGAAAGCAAGAACACATCCTCTGTGTGAATGATGATGCTTAGGCCAAATAATTATGAAGCACCATGAAAGTAATATTCTTGAAGATTCTAATATTAAAATGTGCCACCCGTGTGACTTTTTGGATAAAAATTTGTCAGATGACTTAAAATCACCAATCTAACCAGAGGTGTGAGTGACGAGACTTCCTGTTGTGGCACGGGGGTTGGGCGTCTCAGCTCTTGAGGCGAGAGCAACTTTAATTATCGCCTCCTTCATTAGTCTAATTAAAGAGTGCTTAACGAGCAATCTTACAGAGGGTGTTTAATCAAAGGCATTTTCTTTCTGTATGTTTTTTATACAGTTCTTCACCTCTGTCTGTAGTCAACACATCTCTCTTCTCACTTAACACTGCATGTAAAGATAAAGTCATGAAGTCATTTTTCACAGGAACGTTGCTGCTCTCTCAGTGTTATCTGGAAGCTTGCACGCTGTAGTCTCAGCAGGACGACAGGCTTTTCCCTGGAGGCTCCTAACAGTATGTTTAAACCAGAGCGTCTCAAACTTTATTTATAGCTCTTTATAGAGTATTTATCTCACTCATGCTGCCACTCTTCTCCCAGATCTCATTACAAAACCATTCTGTGCAAGTGTGCCAGTTTGTGCCAACAAACAAAAAAAAAAAAGGATGTTTTTTGTGCATATCAAAACCCAACAAGTCCACTTCAGTAAAACAACCCTTAATTTCTGTACAAATACTACTGTTTGTTAATGTCACTACAATAAAACTGTGGTGACTTGCCATTCAAAAATAAATGACACAATCTAGAGATACTAAAAGCTCCTAAAGAAGAAAATCCAGTATTATTTATATACTATGATAGTATTGATTAAATTTTTTTTAATAAGCTTTGCTTGTAATATTTTTGGTTTAAAAAAGAAAATTGGGTTTAAAGTCATTTGTTATTTGGTTTTGTCTTTTTTATTGTTTTTAATTAAAACTTTAATTTTATTTTTATTTCAGTTTCAGTATTTTTATTACATCACATTAAACTAGCCAGTAGCCAAGGCAGCATTTCTAATTCATCAAAAAAAAAAATTCTAATATTTCACCAATGATATTTACCTAAAATTATTTTTAATAGTTTAAATAGTTTAATAGTTTTAGTTACTAGCGATACTGAATACATTATTATAGTACCAACTTATTTTGGTTTTATAGTAGAAACAACTATGGCCTTGTAACCATAGGTAAAATAATTCAAATAATATCTCCTATCCAATCTCAAGGGTGAAATGTTTAATTTCTGCACCACTACTGGTATCACATGGAATTGCAATCTGTTTGTTTGGACAAAATAACATTAACCTTTGGATTTTGGGGCGGGACTGTTTTGACCAATGGCAGAGAAGGTTTTCTATTTAGGAAACACTCCAATTGTGTTTGGTGCCACTAGAAATACATAAAAATAATTAGTCTAATATCTTTTTAAATGTTTATGGTGTGCAAAAACCTTGAACATGAGACACAGATGTTTGTGTGCTGTTTATATTGATATGCTGTTTATGTCAAAGGTCAATGGTCATTGCGACAGTGTAAATGTGTGTGTGAGTGCAGAGGGAAAGAAAAGAGAGAAACAGTTCCTGAGCTGTCAACCGCTGCCCTATCTCCACTCATAAACACTCCTTGTTTCCGCTCTCTCCATGACATTACCAGCTACACATGGCCTCTGACCTTTACTATCGCTGCCTCGGTCTGGATCCCCCTCTTCAGAGCTTTCGTTGTGGCAACGAGGACCTGGGAATTTCCAGAGCGGAGACACTAACTAACAGGACAGAATGCTAAAGTTAGTCTGGCATATCACACATAGCATTCCTTCATTCCCTGCTCTCTCACTCTCTCCTTCTCCACATAGGGAGACGGAAAAAATGATTCCAACGTCTCAGACGGTCACGAGACACGTCAGACAAACACCACAAGACGCGGAGACTTGAGCAGAACGTGTCATACACAGATCTCTGGGTAATATGTCTCTGGAACAGAAAGCAGTCTCTAGGATTCACTGTATGAACTCTTTCACCAGTCAGGGTCCAATTTCACAAAACCATCTCTCTTTCTTTTTTTCTGAAAGTTAATGTTAAAATGAGAAAATGTTGCACATCTCTGGCAACTAAACAGTCTCACCCTTACTGTGAGTGAGGATCAGTGGAAGTTTTTATCCTTGAGGAGACGAATGTGGCCCATCCATGCTTTCCCATAATGCCCCAGTGCTGCAGAGATAGTGTAAATGATTTAGCACAATGATGTCATGCCAAGTGGAGCATGAAACGTCAAAGTATTACACAACACCGGCAATTAAGACATGACGACATGACTAAGCCTCTCAAAATAAACTAGTGACACAAATATATTTTTGTGACAATATTTTTTTGCCCATTATTTTGAGATTACTTGAAAATAACAGTGCCTGACTGGCTGATTATTAAAGTGGAATCTACTTGCAATCTTATCAATGGATAATTAAGGCAAATGGATAGCTCATTTGAATGTTTTGATATGTTAATGTTAAAACATTTTAAATGTAAAAAAAACAAAAACACGAATTGGGTAAACTTAAAATAAGTATTTGCTAGGGATGCACAATATTAAATACAAATGTGATATGTAATGATGCGATATGCAATATGATAATTCTTTAAGTGTGTAGAATCAATTTTTAAAAAATTTTTTTAAATTATCCAAATATATTTTTTTTTAAATGTATACCGTAACTTTCAGAACTACAACAACTTACTACCAAAAAAAAAGTATTTGATACTTAGCTATAATTGAGCTCAGAAACATTAGACAGATGAATACATTACTCATCCCACCCACAATTACTAGGTAGAAGCTAACCAAATTAGACAACATGCCTTCATCCTCAAAATCCACAAACAAACCTACACAAAGAAAAGACTATATTACATTTGGATTTACAGGTAAATTACAATCACAAAATTAATTTTACCTACGGTAATTAATTAAAATTAATTTAACCCTGTCATATTTTCATAAAGCTGAGCCTATTCAGTACATGGTAATATTCATTTTAATGCTTTATGTGTGTGTGTGTGTGTGTGTGTGATGTACCATGAACAATAATAGTGCCATTATGTATTTCCATTGGATCATGAAGCAAAACCAGCCAAGAACCACAAATACAAATACCATCAATGGCCACTGAAAAACCTATTGCGATTGTTCACAAAACAAAGCAGTTCCTCTGCAGGTCTGTAATGAAAGTACAAGACAGAAACGCAAGGTGCGATACAGATCAGCATCTAAATGAGAGGAAAAACATTGTGTACCCCAGAAATTATCATCACTTTCCTCTGAATTTGTGACTGCTTCTGATATTGGTGTTCTGAACATCCATGTTCTTTCTTGGAAAACCTCCATGTGTTTTTCTCTCTGTAGTATTAATATTCACCTTGATGTTAAATCTATAGACACTCACACGCACACACACACACACACACTCGTATAGTCCCCGGAAATGTCAGCTTCACGGAGGGAGCGGCTCTGTTGCCTTGGTGATGCGAGATAGAGCCAGCAGACCGACTCCCACAGGGCTTTGTTTACCAGCCTCCTAAAGCATGCTGGGAATAGCAAATACACAAACACATGAACACACAAGAACTGAGAGAGAGAAAACATAACCATTATCAGCAGTGCTGACATTATGTCACGAGAGTGCAAACATGTAGGATGAGAGGAGTGGCGAGCACATGTGCGTATGGCTCTAAACATGTTCTTTCCACTACGAGCATAATGCGTCTGTTTATCTCTGTCACTCACACATACAGAGACACTGACATCATCTGTCACACACTCACTGAAATATTCTCTGGTGAACCATTCAACCAAACTAATTAATCCCTAATGAACTCAGAGGTAACTTTTATTGTTACATGGACACCAATGCATGACTGATATTTTTCGACAACAAGACAATCGATGGAACTGTGTGTGTGAAATTGACTGTCAGGTTCTTACTCTCAGTGTGAAATGTTTCAAATCGTTGAGACACAAAGCCACAGTTTGCAGACTAAGTACAAACTCGCGTCTCTTTGCATTTACATAAACTCACTTGTGAACACAAATATGAAAACACTTCCACTTTTGGTCCATATACAATGTATATGAAAGCATATAGGCTTATATAACAAAAATGTGTCTTTATACATAAAGTAACAAACAAATAAATGGGCTCAGTCAGTAAGAGGAAATTTTAATACTGCAAAAGATGCATTAAATTTATCCAAAGTTACAGTAAAAGGCATTTTATAAAAGATTTCTATTTCAAATAAGTGCTATATAAATTTCAATAAATCAAAACATTATTGAAACAAATGTATACAATTTTTTTTTTAATTGAGCAGCACAGCTGTTGTCAACATTGATAATACAAAAGTTTCTTGAGTGGCAAATCAGCATATTAAAATGATTTCTGAAGGATCATGTAACTCTGAAGACTGGAATAATGGCTACTGAAAATTCAGCTTTGCATCACAGGAATGAATTACATTTAAAATATATTAAAATAGAAAACTGTTTTTTAAAATGTAAAAGTATTTAATAATATTAGTTGCTGTTTTTTTTAAATGAAATAAATGCAGTCTTGGTGAATATGAAGACCTATTTCAAAAATATTAAAAACTTACCAACCTCAAACTTTTCCACAATATATATTTGTCAAGATATATATGGCAAAAAAATAAC